GTAGTAGCCAGAGGTCACTGCACGATGCTGCCATCTTAAGTGGGGCTTAGCTGCACAGGCTCCTTCTGGGAAAACATGCTGGCCTGTGAAGTCTTTCTAGATCGTGCTGTAGCTGGGGGAGTGCGGAGCCATAAGCTGCGCCTATAGCTCAGGCAGGGGGATGGGACCCCGAGGGCTTCGCTCGACGGGGACTTCTGGGCCATCGGGGCAGGGCCTGCTGGTGGTAACCTAGTCTCCAGTCTCCCTGTTCCTGGGTATCTGCCAGCAATAAGTCTGCTTTCACCTTTGGCCTCTACCTGGAGAAGCAGAGGGAGCTGATGGCAGTTCTGAAAGGCTCTGATGGGGGCACAGCCAGAGGGCTGGACGCCTGCTGCACAGGCCAGCAGCTTGGCCTCTGGGCTCCCCCTGTGTAGCAGGTTCAGGGACAGACAATGCTCAGCCCTGGGGCCTCTGTGCTGACACAGGGCATGGCTGAGCTGGGCAACAGGTGTCCCCGCAGGGTGGCCTCTGAGGGGACCATCCTTGTTCGAGGTAAACCCCAGGCCCTGTCCTCTTCTTTTTTTAAAAAAAAAATTAATTAATTTATTTTTGCCTGTGTTGGGTCTTCGTTGCTGCACGTGGGCACTCTCTAGTTGCGGCGAGCAGGGGCTGCTCTTCGTTGCGGTGTGCGGGCTTCTCATTGCGGTGGCTTCTCTTGTTGCAGAGCATGGGTTCTAGGAGCGCGGGCTTCAGTAGTTGTGGCACCGCGGGCTCAGTAGTTGTGGCGTGCGGGTTCTAGAGTGCAGGCTCAGTAGTTGTGGCTCACGGGCTTAGTTGCTCCACAGCATGTTGGATCTTCCTGGACCGGGGCTCGAACCTGTGTTCCCTGCACTGGCAGGTGAACTCTTAACCACTGCGCCACAGGGAAGCCCCCATCCTCTGTCTTCTGAGTGGAGCCTTGCAGCCTTGTGGGATGTGCGGACAGCACCCTGGCTTAAGCAGAAACCTGCATGTGTGCTTAGCTGCAGGGCCCTTTCCCCACACACTGGCTTGCTGAGAGCATCACCTGTTGTGTGTCAGTCGGGGCAGAGCTTTGGACCGGATGGAGGGGCCAGGGGCCGGGAGGGGCGGTGTGGTGGCCCAGCTGGGATGGGGGGCCCTTCACTCCGTGAGACCTCTGATGGCCCTTTCTCATCTCCAGCTGGCTCCTTGTGACCTCTGACCCATTTCCACGGTGTTTGTGGCCTTAACACTTAGAAGGGGACAAGGTTCCCTTTGGGGGGATGTGTTGGGGAGCATGGCGGGCACTGAGGGTGCAGGGCCCGCCTGTTGGTCCCCATTGCTGGAGCAGGAAGCCAGGCCCCTCACCCTCGCCTCCCGGCCCCCGCAGGTCCGGGTCTTCCTGCAGCCCCCCCTAAAGGGCGTGGTTATGGAAACCTTCGGATCGGGAAACGGGCCCACCAAGCCTGACCTGCTTCAGGAGCTGCGGGTGGCAGCTGAGCGAGGCCTAGTCATTGTCAACTGCACCCACTGCCTTCAAGGCGCCGTCACCTCGGACTATGGCGCTGGCACGGTGGGGCAGGGACACCGAGGCCTTGGGAGGGAGGGCAGGGGCAAGTCTGGCTGTGACCCCGTGCCCCATCGTCCGCCGGTGCCTCCTTTCCTGCAGGCCCTGGCGGGAGCCGGCACCATCTCAGGCTCCGACATGACATCAGAGGCGGCCCTGGCCAAGCTGTCGTATGTGCTTGGCCTGCCGGGGCTGAGCCTGGATGGCAGGAAGGAGGTGCGTGCCCCTCCGGCTGGGGACCCGGGCCCGCACTGGTGGGCGGTAGGGCCCAGTCCGGGGGATGTGTGCCTGGGTTTGGAAGGGGGTGTGGACGGGGGGGCTCCCCCGATCGGTTGCCAACCCCAAGCCCGGGCACTGCCTGTCCTCACCTCGAGGAGCCCCAGGTCTGGCTTGCGCTGAGGATCCCCAAACTGCTCCCAGGGTATCCCCTCTCTCTTGCTTTTCAGGCTGGCCTCAGACATGGCTGTCCCCGGGCCCTGGGACTGGGCAGAAGCCACAGGGGCCCGGGGAGACCCTGAGCTGGAGGGCTGGAGGGTGGGGCTGGCCTGGTGTGGGGATCTGGCTGGGGTTAGGCTCCGGCCTCAGGCATGGAGCCCAAGGGAGGAGTTTCAGGCCCTGGGCAGCCCTCTCCTGGGGCCTGGGGTGCCTGGCCTGCGAGGCTGGTCTGGGCTGCTGGGTCCGGGCCCTGATGGAGCTGGCCCGGCTCTCCGTGTGCCCCCCGGCAGCTGCTGGCCAGGGACCTGCGCGGGGAGATGACGCCGCCTGCCGCGGACAAGCTCTGGCCCTCTCTGCGGGGCAGCACGCCGGGCCGCGGGGTGGCCCAGCTCCTTAGTCTGAGCCAGGTACTGTCCAGCGTGGGCGAGGGCGTCTGGGCGGTGGGTCCCTGAGGGATGGGCTCCCGCCCCCTGGCATTTTGGTGCCAGGAGCAGAAAACCACCAGGCACGAACTGGTTCTGGGCTCGGGGCCACAGCGGGGAGGGTTTGCAGGGACTCGTGGGCCAGTGTGTGGGAAGGGGCCAGGCACTGGAGAGGGGCCCTTGCAGCGTGCACACGGTGCTCAGAACGTGGCCGCTCACCCGGGGGGCAGCCGAGCCGGGCCTGCTGGCCCTGGTGCAGGGCTGCCTCGTGAGGGGGGCGCTCTCAGGCAGCATGGGCGCTCTGTCCATCCTGCTGCTGGCGGGAGAAAGGTGTCTGCTCTGGGGTCTCCCCGGGAAGAGGGGCCAGGCTTGGAGTTCCTTCCCCTTCTCAGCCAGGGTGCCCAGGCCCGGGAGGGGACCGAGGACTTGCTTTAGGGCCTGGGATCTGAGATTTAAGCTGGGCCAGGCTCATGGGGGTGACTGGGGCCTCCTGGTGCCCCACCTTACCACCGCCCCCGGCACCGGCTTCTGGAAGAAGTGTCCAGACCTGGTGCGCCTGGCAGGAGAGGGGCACTGTGCCCCATTGCTGACCCGGGTCACACCACGTGCCTCAGTTTCCCCTCTGCAGAGTGAGGGTGGGAGAGTGGAGAGTGGCAGGAACTTAACCTGCTTGCCAGGGATGGGCAGCAGCCAGACGCGTGCAGTCTGTCATCACAGTGGATGCCTCGGGCCTTAATGACTCCAGATCTCAGGCCCCGCCATGGTGCCTGGCGCGGGGATGCCTACGGGGGCCTCTGATGGGACCCCCAGCCTTCTGGCGCCTTGGGGAGCTGTTAGGCGACCCATGGAATTCCCAGCACCGGGACCAGACGGCCCTTCCTGCTGGGGAGGGCCAGGCACCCCTTCCCACCCTCCCCCAGGCAGGTGCCCTATGAGTTACCCCTGCCTCCTGGCCCGCAGGGGAGGCAGGCGAGGACGTGGGTCTCAGCAGGCTGGTGGCAGGCCCCGATCACACAGCTGATGGGACAGAGCCAGGTGGTGGCCTGTGTCCTCCCTGGACTTTGCTCCCAGGGCTGGGGGTCCCAAGTAGGCCTCGGATGTGGTGCCTAGCCCCTTTTACCATGTTGAGACTTGAGGGGGCGCTGGACCCCATCCTGGGACTCACTGCCGGCACGGTATGTGGGCCAGCAGGGTTCCCACAGGCCCTGCGCCCCACCTCTGCCCACCTGTTCCCCTGCTCCTGGCCCTGCCCACTCCTGGGGGTGGTGAGGACCCCAGGAAGCGGCAGGGGTCCCAAGGTGCTGCGGCGCCCCCTCACCCTAGGAGGCTGAGGACGTGCGAGATGCCCTGGCACCCAGTCTGGCCTGTGCCGCGGCCCACGCCGGTGATCTGGAGGCCCTACAGGCGCTTGCAGAGCTGGTGAGACCCCTGCCCGCACTCGGGGACCAGCTCCAGCTGCACCAGGCTCCGGGGGGTGGGGCGCTGCCCAGATGTGGGCAGGACTGCCTGTCCTGGGGCTTGCTCACCTCCCTGCAGCCGAGGGGGGCACGTGGCTGTGTCAGGCCCCCCTTGGGTGTACCCCGACCTTGTCCCTTCCCTGTGGCCTACCTGGCCCTGTCCGGCCTCCCCTCAGTGGGTGGCGATCCCTTGCACTGCCCCAGGGCAGTGACCTGAGCCTGGAGGACTTTGGTGGTCAAACTCCGCTGCACTCGGCCGCCCGAGGGGGCCAGGCTGGGGTGGTCACCATGCTGCTGCAGAGAGGGCTGGACGTGAACGCACGGGACAAGGATGGCCTCAGCCCGCTGCTGCTGGCCGTGAGGGGCAGGTACTGGGCTTGGGGGGAGCGGGCACTGTGGCGGATGTGCGGGCCGGGGTGCCGTGTGGGGCAGGGCCTGGACAGGGATGCCTCAGAGGGGGCCTTCTGTGTGCCTGTGGTCACACAGCATCCCCAGGCAAAGCCATGTGGGACCAAGGACGCCTGCTTCCTGGAGCCTCGCACACCTCCAGCTGGGCCCTAGGCACTAGCAGTGACCTTGCCAGGTGTGAACAGGGCCCAGACTGGGAGGACTGACTCTGGGCAGGGTGGTCAGGGAGGGCTTCCTGGAGGTGACCACCAAGCTGAGCCAGGCAGGCCCGGCAAGACCCTGGCACGGAATTTCTAGAAAAGAAAAACGCTTACAGAGCACAAGGGGTCTCATGTGTGTTCCTACCGTCCTCCACCTGAAGGGCTGGGGGTGGGGCAAGGAGAGAAACCCCCAACCCAGCACTGGGATGGAGCAGGTACAGAGCAGGTGACATAGTGCCAGACGTTGGGCTGGGTGAGCACAGGTCCCCAGCGGGGCAGGCTCAGCATGCATGCTAGTGGGGGGGGGGGTCCCCCAAGCTGGGCCCATCCAACAAACCCTGGCTTTTTAAGGCAGGGCCCCAGCCTGGGTTTTTTGGGGGGGGGCCCCGCCCAAGTGGAGACTTGGAGAGCTGAGCTCTTGCTGAGGCCCGAAGGCTCTGGGCAGTCATTGTGGGCACCTGACGTCTGGTTCCTTCTAAGGAGAAGCAGAGGCCCCCTGACCTGCAGCCAAGGCCAGAGGCTGGGGCCCCCTGGAGGGGCCACCCTGTGTGCTCACCTGTGACGTGCACTGCAGGCTGGGGCGGCAGCACCTTGCAGGGCGGGTTGTGTGAGGATCGATGTGAAGGAAAACGCACGAGCTGGTGGTCACTACCCGGGAGCCGGGGTCACAGGCTCTGACCCCTTCCCTTGGGGTTGGGCCTGGCAGGCGGGCAGCCAGCCAGCCGAGGCCAGAGGAGCAGGCATCGGGGCTGGTGAACACCTGTACCCGTGTCCTCTGCTGGGGCAGCCGTCTCCTTGTCCTCCCAGGCCCGCCTGGCATCTCTCCGAGGGGCAGGCCTCTCCTGCTCTGACAGACAGTTGGAACTCACGGCGGATGGGCACAGGTGGGGCCTGGTAGCCACTTGGCCCTGCATTCTAGGGGCTTACATTGCTCCGAGGCCTGGAACTTTCTGGGAAGACCTAGGGGCAGGGGCGGGACCACGCTCCCACCTGTTTCCCCGTCCCCTGCCTGGCAGCGGGGAGGGGCATCGCATACATGTGTGTGTGTGTGAGCGTGTGTGTGTGAGCGCACTTGTTAGCGTGGCTGTGAGCGCGGCTGTGAGCGTGTGTGTGTGAGCGCACTGGTGAGCGCAGCTGTGAGCGTGTGTGTGAGTGCACTGGTGAGTGCGGCTGTGAGCGTGTGTGTGTGAGTGCACTGGTGAGTGCGGCTGTGAGCGTGTGTGAGTGCAGCTGTGAGCGCGGCTGTGAGCGCGGGTGTGTGAGCGCACTGGTGAACGCGGTTGTGAGCGTGTGTGTGAGTGCCCTGGTGAGCGCGGCTGTGAGCGTGTGTGTGAGTGCACTGGTGAGTGCGGCTGCGAGCGTGTGTGAGTGCAGCTGTGAGTGCGGCTGCGAGCGTGTGTCTGGGACGCGGGGATCACAGGCCTTGCTTTCCATCTCTTGTAGTCTTGCTGTTTGAACGCAGAGCTGGTCTCGGTTTAGCGGCTGCCACAGGCCCCGGGCCCTCCCCAGGGGCTCTCGGCCTGCAGGACCCTGGGTTATTTCTGGGGGGTCTCCTGAGTCTTATGGAGAGCCCAGGCCACCAGACTGCTCGGCTCAGTCCTGGGCCAGGGTGCCTCACCCTTGGGGCAGTGGGCAGTGGGGTAGCCCCACCCTCCCAGCCTCCTGGGAGCATCAAAGGGTTCTCAGAACAGGCGGGGGACCGAGGGGGAGGGCTGCACGTGGGGTGTGCCCGTGGCGCCCAGGCCCGGTGATCTGGCTGGAGACTCTGCAGCTCACACTTGGGTGTGTGTGGGTGGCAGCATGGTGAGCTCACCCTGTCCTGGTCCCACCCGCTCGTCCCCAGCTGGCTGTCACGGCAGCTCCCTCGCCTCCCGAACCGGTCTGCCGGCTCACCCCGCAGCAGGCCCTGCTGTGCCCTGGAGGGGCTCGCCTCACCCTGGAGGGCTCCGGGGGGGTGGGGGGACCCCACTCTCCTACCCAGCTCCCTAAAAGTGGGGTGACCATGCAGTTGACGGTACACCGCCAAACTGGGGAAGGGGGCAGCCTTGGGGCTCTGTGCTCTCTGTTCCCTGGGCTCGGAGCAGGTGCCTCGACACCCACAGGCCTCTGGGCCCTGCTCCAGGCCAGCCTGACGCCCACGTTCTTCCGTCAGTGTCTCATGCCCACCCTATCCCCAAGGGCAGACTACCGGCCCAAGGGATTCCGTTTTCCCAGACTCGGCCCTGGCGGGTGTGAGCTCGGCAGGGAGGCTCCTCCAGGGTGGGCCGTCCAAAGGTGCCCAGAGCGGGGCCTCGGGGTGGGGGGCGGTGCTGCGGACGGAGGTGCTGCACAGCCAGGGCTGACTGACTGCCCCCCCGGCGTGGGTCTGGGTGCTGGGGACCGAGGTGGGGTGGCCCTAGTCTGGGCAGGGTGGGTTCCTGGTCTTGGGCACAGGACAAGGCCCTGCTGGCGTCTCGCGGAGGCTGCGGCGGGCAGGCGGTCACCACGCTGTTTCTCACGGCAGGCATCAGGGTGTCATTGGGCTGCTGCGGGCGGCTGGGGCCTGCCTGTCCCCCGAGGAACTGGAGGACTCGGGGACAGAGCTCTGCAGGTGAGGGTCGCAGGCGTACCTGTGCTTCTGGGACGCGGGCTTCAGAGCGGGGAGAGCCCATCGTGCACCAGCTGGGCCCTTGGAGCACTTGAGGGTGGGGTTTGTTCCTAGAAGAGGGAGCAGTCCAGCAAGGGGGTGCGTTTGAGTGTGTGCGTGCGTGTGTGTGGGTAGAGAAGGGCCGTGGAGGGGTCGGCTGGGAGGGTGCCTGGGTGTGGGCTCCGGGGAGCCTGGGCTGTGTTTGGGGAGGTTGGGGGCACGGGGTGGGGGCAGGGCAGTCGGCAGCTCTCACGCGTGGCTGTGCTCCCCCGTGGGGAGGACACCAAGGCCCAGCAGCTGCCCTGCCCTGGTCGGCGTTCGGCTGCCAGCTGCCAGCAGGACTCTGACCTCAGCCGCTCTGAGTGACCACCAGGCAGACCTGGGGAGGCTGAGGCCTGGGAGGGGTGGTGGTGGGCTGGGCAGGGGGCAGGCCCAGGGCTGCCGGCCTCCTTTCCTTCAGCCGTCCCCTGGGCCACTCCCCGTGGCGCTGCAGATGTTCTGTCGCTGGCTCCCCCCCACCCTGCCCTGCCCACCAGCCCCTCCTGTGTCCAGCCCGGGCTGCCCTGGGCAGGTCTGAGGCCTCGAGGAGGGGAGGGGCCGAGGGGGGGGCAGGCTGGGGGCCGGAAGCGCCTTGGAAGTCAGAGCCCCCAGGCATGGGCTGGGTGACAAGGGCGGTGTCTTAGACCCTGGCTGCTGTGGTGTGAGGAGGGGTGGCTGCCTGCTCTCCAGGAAGAGGACCTGAAGCTCTGGCTCCCTCGTCCCCACCGGCCAGCATCCCCCCACCCCCGAGCCTTGGAGGCCCCCGTCCTAGACACAGTGGGGTGGAGAGCCCACTGGCCCCACTGGCCCCAGCCTCAGCCCCTCCCTCCCTGGAGTGCAGCGTCCCTGGGGGGACGAATCCTGCTGGCTGACCTGCCTCTTCTCAGCACCGACAGTGCTAAGGCGGGCGGGGCGGGGGGGTCTCAGATGTGCGGGCTGGTGGCAGGGCCCAGGCGGGGAGGGTCTTGGCTTTGAAGGGACTTCTGGGGTGACTTGGTTCAGAGCTGCACCCCAGGTGAGCCTCGATGGCTCCGTAGACAGATGGGGAAACAGGCAGAGGGGGGAAGTGACAGCCAGCTCCCACGGGAGTGGGTCATCCGACCTGAGCTGCTTGGCTGGATTTGTGGGGGGCCCTTGGACAGCTCTTCCAGGAGGTGAGTGTGTGTGGGAACCAGCGTGAGAGGCCTGCAGGCAGATCTGGGGGCGGGGCGGGTGGTGGCGCCATCAGCGTGATTCACCTCAGGAATGACCCAGCGCCACTTGGGGGCTGCTGCTGCCGTTTCCTGACCCAGAGGGAGTCCCTAGGGTCCCCTTGGGGGACGGCCCTTCCTGCCCGGCAGTCCTGGCCAGCACACCTGGTTTGGACCCCTTCCCTGCCTGGTCCCAGGGTGAGAGCAAAGGGAGGATGCAGACGACCCCATGAGGGCCCGGGAGGTGCTCTGTGAGTCCCCCACCACCTCCCTAGGGCAGGCAGGCCCAGGCCCCCTCCTAGCCAGGACCCCCCCCATGCGGCCTGCCTCTGTGGGCCCCGCCAAGGAGAGCTGTGTTGTGAAATATGAAACTGGCGGGCGGCACTCAGCCGGTGGGGTGTGTGTGGTGTGCACGTGCACGCGTGTGCGTGCATCCTCACGCGTGTTCCTTCGTGTGTGCACCCTTGACCTGAGTCCCAGTCACCCCTGCTGGGTGAAACCAGACTCCAGGCCGTCAGCTGGCCCGCAACGACTCTTGCACTCCTGCCGCAGGGCTTGGGCACTGCTGGGTCAGCTGTTTGGGGCTGGCTTTGCAAAAGTGCCGGTGGGCAGATGGACAGGTGCCCGGTGGTCTCTGACGGCTCCCCCTCCTCCACTCCCCCTCCCAGGCTGGCATCCAGGGCAGACTGTGAAGGCCTGCGGGCATGGTGGCAGGCAGGGGCCGACCTGAGGCAGCCGGGCTATGATGGGCGCAGCGCCCTGCATGTCGTGAGTGCCACCAGTGCCCTCTGAGGCCACCTCATCCAGGAAGGCCTCCCTGACAGCTCCATTGGTTCCCGCTTCCCAAATGCTCAACTCCTGCTCTCCGGGTGGATGCACTTCATATGCGGGAACCACAGGGGTGGGAGGGCTGTCCCTTTTCCTGTCCCAGGTTCCCTCCCAGGGCCGAGACCTGTGGGGACAAGGGCAACGGAGGAGTCATGGGGTCCTTGGTGCATGGGTGGGTGGGCCGCTGGGGGTGGGAGGCGGCGTTCAGGGCCAGGTTGCTGGTCCGAGTCCCTGAGGCAGCCCCTCCCGCGTTCCCCCTCACCCACCCTGCAGGCAGAGGGAGCTGGGAACCTGGAAGCGGCGGCCCTGCTTCAGAGCCTTCAGGCCCTGGGCCCAGTAAGTCCCCCACCCTGCTGTGGGGTTGGACCTGGTGGGGACTGTGTCCTGGGGACAGAGCTGGTCTAAGTCAGTGGAGCCTGCAGAGCCCCTCCTGTGGGTGGGGCGTACCCTCTGTGGGAAGCTGCAAACTGCCTGGAGGGAGGGCCAACCCCAGACCCCCTGCTTCCGTCCTGTCCTGTCAGGCCGCCCCATAGTGCACCCTGCCCCATGGCGCACCCTGCCGCGGCACTGGAGGCCCCAGCCGTGGTCAAGAAGCTCCCCGAGCCTGGAGGGGGCCTGCCTGCCCTGCCCCGCCCCACCAGGACCAGCACCCACTGGGCTGGGTGGGCCAGGTTCCAGCTGACTCCCCACCCCCACCCCATCAGCTGGCCTTCCGGAAGACTCTCCAGGCTGGTTGGGTTTGCTCAGGTCCTTGGGTCCCTCCCCTGTGAAAGGCTGCTTCCCACTGACAGGTGCCCGGGCTTGTCTGTCTGCTCTGCCTCCATACAGTACCTGGGCCTCCGCTCCTCTAGAGACCTCCCGTTGTCAGGAAGTGCTGCCCGGTATCTAACCTGAAGGCGTCCTGCTGCAGCGTGAGCCATTCCTTCCTGTGAGACCTGCTGGAAGGACGACAGCAGGCCCACCCCTGCGGCTCTGACTGTGCTGTGCGCCCCCTTCCCCGGCCCCCCTCCTCGCTGCTGGAGCTGTTTCCCATTCTGTTTCCAGAACACAGCCTAAAGGTCTTTGTTGGGTAGAGTGGCAATAAAATCTCTCTGAGGGCCATTCCCTCCCTAGATCCCCAAAGCCCGGCTCCAGTGGGTCTGTCTGGGTCCCAGGACTGTGGGTGTGTGTGGGGGGGTGTCAGGCCCAGGCTCTGGGTCAAAGGGCGGTGTCTTCAGCACCCTGGGGGTGAGGGACGCTCCACCAATCCTTCCCAAGGCACCAGGAGTGAGTGTGAGTGTGGGTCCCAGGGCGGGGTGGGCAGGCTGTTCCCTCCCCAGACAACCTCTGCCCCATCTCCTCTCTTCCCAGACCTCCTCTTGAAGCTTGGGGTCACCTCCTCCAGGCAGCCCCCACCCACATCTGCTTCTGCTGAACTCTTCTCGTGGAGACCATCTCTCTATCTCTCTATCTCTCCCGGTGCCCCTCGTCCATTCTTCACAGGGGCCTCTGCGGTGTGCCGGCCCCTTGGCCCCGTTCATTGCAGCCCCTGATCTGCTGGTAGCGCGGGACCTGCTGCCTCTTATGAGCCAGGCCCATCCTGGGGAGCCTGGGTGGGTGGGAGCGCCCTGCTGTGCGCAGGTGTGGGATGGGCAGGGCAGGCCCGGGCCTGGTGGGTGTGGCTCTCTGAGGCCAGTGTCAGTGCCTTACCAGAGGCCCCGCTGGGGCTGAAGTCAGGTGTTTGGACCCACGGCCTGAACCGGAAGCACCGGAAGCAGTCCGGTGGGGCGACAAGGGCATGACCTTGGGCCTGGGCTGGCCTGAGGCCTCCCGCCCCCCGCCCTGCTGGGCGTGAGGAGCCTCCCCGCTCCAGGTCCCCCACCACCTTGGCCCCTCTCTAACTGCCCCCATAAGGACTGCCTTCAATCTGTCCATCTGGCCCCTGAGCTGGGGGCTCAGGAAGCCGCTGGGCCCAGGCTGAGGGCAAGGGTGACCCTAAAGAGCTCTCCCTTGCACCCACCATGCAGCTTCTCCCAGAGGCGCTGGGCCGGGGGCGGCTCCGCCCGCACCCCCAGGCTTCTCAGCCCGGTTCCCAGGCCCGGGCTGGCAGCCTGCCAGATCTTGCCCAGACACGGGTGTGCCTGGGCCTTGCACAAACAGGTGACACCACACGAGCGTGGTGGGGCCCCATACCCTGACGACAGCCCAGTGAGCTGGGGCCTGGGGGAAAGAGGGGCCCTGGGGCTCCAGAGCCAGGAGCCCCTGCAGTTGCCGGTGGGCTGGGACCCTCAGGAGGCCAGAGGGCGGCAGGACCATTGGACAAATACCTGGACAATTGGAGAGCACCTTCCGCATCCCACGGCCAGTACCCATCCCCACGTCCTCCGTGGCGCCCGGCACACAGCAGCTCACCAGACACAGCCACCCCCTTTGGCTCTGCTGCCGAGGGACGGGGAACCGGATGGGGCAGAGCCTGTGCTCATGGCCACGCCACACTCAGCGCGTCTCCCAGGCCCCGCGGAGCCCAGATCGTGAGAGCTGCGGTGCCTCAAGTTACCCCACATGGGCCCTCCCTCCCAGAAAGCCGGCCAGTGGAGGAGTGCCCACTGGAACCCGGTGTCCCCGGGCGAGAGCACTCGCTGCACTGGCTTTTCCCCAAGTGGGTCATCGAGGGCAGGGGAGAGGCTTCTGCCAGCGGGGCAGATGCGGGGAGCTCCCCTCCAGGCCCCCAGTTCTCAGGCCCCTCCACACGTTTGGGGGATGCAGAGCCCTACAATGAGCGGCTCCTGGACTGGGCAGGTGTCCCAGAAAGCTCTGGAAAGTCTCAGACATCTGTCTGGAAAGTTCCCCAGGGCCATTCCTCAGAGAATGGCCAAGTCGCAGCAGGGGAGTAAAGGGCCGCCCTCCTCGCCCCCAGTGCCGCGCAAGGTGGGGGGGTAGCCCTGTGAATAACAAAGTTGAAGGGTCACCTGCCGGGCGCCAGCTTCCATCCTGCGACGCCCCCGAATGGGCGCCAGCCCATCTTCCTTCCCACTTTACAGCTGAAGAAACGAAGGCCCAGGCCTGTGCTCAGGGTCCCAGGCGGGCACGTGGCAGAGCTGGGCTACCAGCCCGCCTGGCACTGCACTGGCCCCCTCACCTCTTGAAGGTAGTGCCACCGGGAGAGGTCGCTGGGCTGGTGGGAAACGCGGGAGTGAGGCGAGCTCGGTGAGGGCGGGGTACACGTGCAAGGCGCCCAGGGCCCTTCGGGGTCTTGGAGGGGCCAGAGCTGCATGGCTCGCACCCGGTGATTTCACTTGGGGTGGCGCTCCAGCTCCCAACGGCCCATCTCCTGTCACTGGGATCCCAGGGTTATCGCTGGGAAACATCTCTCATTTAGGCCGTTATCCACGTTTACCCAGTGTCTTCCGTCCTTAGATCAGATTTCTCAGTCAGGGCCGCCCTCACCCCAGCTACAGGTCACACCTCAATACCTCCTGCTGCGAGTGGGGGCCCCAGGCACTGGTCCTGGCCACCTCTTCCTCTCCACTCTTCCCAGTCCCCTCTGGCGCCGGCGACAGTGGCAGTGTGGAGGGAGCGGTCTGCCCCAGACTGGGCTGCACCAGGGCCGAGAACAGGGGACAGGAGAGGTGGGGTCTTTCCGCCCTTGCAGTGACGGGGTGTGTGTGTGGGGGGCAGGAGCTCCCAAGCTCATTGTCTTGGTTACACACCTCTGTAACCAGCCCCCTCCCCCCAGTTCCTGCCCACACACACTGCCACTCAGGCCTGTGGACTCAGCAGAGACGTGGGGTGTGGAGTCCCAGCTCCACCATGGAGCGCCGTGTGACCTCTGAGAAGTCACTGCCTCTCTCTGAGCTTCAGTTTCCCCAACTGCAAATGGAAACGACGAAACCTCTGCTACTCACTTTACTGGGTGGTGGTGCAGGTAAACCACACACAGCATGTGTGACAAGGTCTAGAGGGTCCGTCACAACTCGGTGGCTGCATCCCGACCTGGGACCAGCATGGGCTCCCGAGCCCAGATGACACGGGGGTGCAGCTGGTGGCGCGGCCTTGTGTGGCCACCCCGGACTTAGCCAAACGATGGTGACCACCGCCCGCCGCGCCCCCCACCCCCGGGCCGCACCAGTGGCTCAGGGTTTGGGCCGAGGACTTTAGGGGTCACCTCCCTCCAAATTTTCTCTTTCCTAGAGCTTGGACTCTGCCATTAGCCCCCAGTGGGCAGCTCTGCTGCCCCAACATGTCCAGGTGCCTAAAGCGGGCAGGCCGGGGTGCATGGGGCTGCGGGGTGTCGGCCCAGGGCTCTTGCCGGGCGTGGAGGGGACGGGGACAGGAATGTTGTGCCCTGGCTCCCCCGCCGCCCAGGGTGGGGAGTGTGGGCGCAGAATGGGGCTTCCAGCGTGGTCTCTGAGGAGGGGTCCGGGCTGCCCTCCTTACCCTCTGGGAGGAGACAGGGTCTGAGAACCAGAAACCTGCCGGCGCGTCCTCACCCTCCCTCTAGTTTCACTTTCCATTTGTTCCCTTCCTCCCCTCTCCCACGAAGTTCCCTTTGAAGTGAGAAGGGACACGGATGGGCGTGTCCAGCCGGCCATCCCGCCACCCATGGGCGGTACCCGGGTCCCGGGCTTCTGCCGGCTCCCGTCCTCACCTGGGCACCAACTCGGCTGCCGTCCCCAACTCCCCGCAGTGAGCCCGGGCGCCCCGGGTCCCTGGCGGGACGGTGCGGGTATGGTCCCCGGGCCCGGAGCGTGGAACCAGGGGCGCCGGGGGCAGAGGGCCGGGCAGGGCCGGGAGGCCGGTGAGTCAGGGCCACCCCCGCGTGGGCGCGCCGAGCAGGTACCGGGGCCGCGGACGACCGGCCGCGCGACCTGCCGGCCCGGGAGCCGCCCCGCCCGGAAAAACCGGTCGGGCCGGCGCGGCCCGGGCGCATTCCGGCGGCGGGGGAGGGCGGCCACCCGCTTAAAAGGCGCCGCGGCACTGGCCGCCGCCGCACGGACGCACCGCCGGGCATCGCGGGGCCGTGGGCAGAGGGGACGCGCCGCCGGGACGGCTGGGCTCGCGGGGGCTCGTCGGGCGCGGTCGGTCGGGCGGGGCTGGGTCCAGCTGCCGCGCTCCCCCTGCGTGTCCGGGCGTCGGGGCGCGCGGCCGGGGTCCCGGGCGGCGGGGCTCTTCTCTCCACAGCGCGGCGGACGTGGATCGCGCGCTGGGTTCAGTGGTTCTTAACAGTTCAACAGTTCTGTAGCGCAATTGTGAAATGTTTAGGACCACTAGACCCGGCGGGCCTGCACGCAGCGACAGCAACGGAGCGGCCCACGCGCGGCCCGGGAGCAGGGCCAGGGGCGGGGGCGCCTGGAAGGAGCCCTCGGACCCTGCGCCGCGCACCCCAGGCCGGCCCGGGCCCTCTGCACCTCGCCCGGCAGACCCCGAGGCCGGGCCTGGGGCCGAGCGCAGCGGGAGGCGGCGGGGCGTGATGGCGCCGAGCGCTGGGAAGCGCTGGGAAGGGCTGGGAAGGGCTGGGAAGCGCTGGGAAGCGCTGGGAAGCCCTGGGAAGGGCTGGGGTTTGGGCGCGCCGGGCCCACGCTCCTGGCGCGCTGCCTGCGCGGAGAAGCCACTGCTGTCCTCCTGTAGCCCGAGCACCCCCACCACCACTCCGCCACTTGAAACTCCGTCGGCTTCCCAGCCGGGCCCTGGCGGTGGCCGCGCGGGGTGAAGGAGCTCTCCTAGCCCTCGGCCTCCCGGTCCTGGTGACGCGGCGGCCGCGCCCTCCGGGGCGGGAGTGGCTCGGCGGCTCGCTGGGGGAGAGCTGGAGCCTTCGCTTCGCAGGGGGCCCGTGCGGGGCGATTGCAGGGGCCCAGTGACAGCGTGTGGAATGAATGAAGGACCCCCAGGGACAGAAACGTGTGGCGGGGAGGAAGTTGGGCGACCACACGCCCCAGGTAGGGGGACAGGCCCGCGGACTCGGTGGGCCGGACCGCCTTGGCCAGGGCGTCCCCTCTGCAGTGCGTCCTGGGAGCACACGCCCGATAGGTCCCGTGGGAGCCCGCGTATCTCTGGGAGGGGCTGGCACCAGAAGGGGCTCAGCAAAGTGTCACCCCATTCCCACCTCCCGCCAGGGCGAGGCGTCCCTCCCGGAGGATGAGACTGACCTGCCCGGGAGCCTGCCTGGCCCGCGGGTCTGGCGCCACCCTCTGGGGAGGGAAGGTCCAATGCCTCGTTGGCCCCGGGAGTAGGGAAGCCGAAGGGCAGCCTGGATGGCGGGTCGGACGGGCCTGGGTTTGAGGCCCACCGGGGGCGTGCGGACCAGCTGGACGGCTTTGGGCCAGTCACCAGCTCGTGAGTGTGGTGGTGGTGGTTCGGTGGGTGGGAGGGCGGATGCCAGGCCCCTACAGGGTGGATGTGAGGACAGGAGACGTGGTGTGGAGGGAGAGAGCTGGCCACACGCAGAAGGATGTGGCCCCAGCCCAGGCTATGGGCCCTCTGGCTGCCTGGGGGAGGGGGTCGTGTACTCGGCATGAGGGTCCACCTTCCAGCCAGCACTTTCCCCTTTTAAAGCTCAGTAAACTCTACTGCAGCTGCCTCTCGGGAGCACAGCAGGGCCAGGCCGGGTCCGTGGTGCTCTGAGGGGCCCAGAGGGTCTCAGCAAGGATGTTGATGCTGTCGCCTGACTGCCAGTGGCAGCTTCATTCGACAGTGTTCTTCCTGCGCCGCCTGCTGTGCCCCCAGCAGCCCAGAGGCAGGGGCTCCCCTGCTGGGGTCCAGGTGAGGGGTCATGGGGTATTACGTAGTCTGTGGTCTGGAATCATTTTGTACAATGTCAATATATACATTACAGACTGATGAAAATGAACATATGTTCTAAAGCACCATCGTGTCCCGGGCTGGCTGTCCTTTCTCCCCCGGGCCTCGCCGTGGTCTCCCAGCAAGCCCCTAGCCCCTGCCACCAGCTTTCTCTTAGTTGGGGAAGGGACACCTCCTGAAACCTTCTCCCACCTCCCTGACCCAGGCCCCTGGGCCCCTCCCCGCTTCTGTTTTGAGCTGCGGCCTTGAGGAGCTGGGCTGGGGAGAGGGCTTGGTCCCGGGGCCCCAACTTCATGTGGCTCCACCTGCTTCCAGCCTCACCCCATACTGGTGCCCGGCTGGCTGCTACCGTGCCCAGCCTGGCTGGGCTCTGGTCACCGGGAGGGGCAAGGTTGGAGGGCTTAGGGGCTGAAGTGATGGAGGACCCTCCTCGGCTGTACCCACCCCCCTCCTCCATCCTGGCACAGACTGAGAGTCAGTCGTGGTTACCAGCCTTGCCGCCCATAAGCAAGTGACCGTGGCAATTCCCTCCTCTCAGAGAGCCCATTGCTTCCTCTGGCAGTGGGGCTGGTAGTGCCCATCTTGCGGGGCTCGCTGCAGGGCCACTCCCAGAGCGCCGATGTGGGGCAGAGCTAGGGCTTATCGCAGGGACAGTAATACCTCGTGGGGGAGGGCTGAGGGGGGGAAGACCCCAGGGAGCAATGGGGTGGGGTCTCACCCCACGCCCCCTCGGTCCCTGGGGCTTTCTGTGACAAGCCCTGTCTCTCCTGACATACATTGCCCCCTGCCCCTGCCCCCCGACACCTCTCCTCTCTGGCTGCTCTCTCTGGCAGATTATGCCCAGGGTCCCCAGTACCCATTCTCTTTAGCAGTGGAAGCCCCTAGTGTCCACTGGGCCCTTGGCCCCCTGGGCTGCGAGTGTGGGGTTCTGGCCTGCCTCAACTTCCTCTTTCCCCTTTCCGGGTGGGACCAGGCCACTGTAGTGCTAAGCCCGCCCTGGCCTTGCAGACAGAGGGCCACCCTGGGCCATTGCAGAGCCTCCCTGGATGAGGCTGACCAACTCGTCAAGGTTTGCCTGGGACTTTCAGGTTTTAACACTGGAAATCTCATGTTCTGGGCACCCTGTTTGTCCAGGGCAAACT